ACAACGGTCTTCTACTGGGCCGATTGTTGCTTGGTCGCTGGGTCGAAACTGTACACCCAGGTGTCATCACCACTAAGGATCTCGCAAGTAGCATTGAAACATTCACCATAACACCTGGCAAGCATGGTGCATCACCCATTCACTCAAACTGCTTGCTGGTTCTCGTGCTGATGGGATACCCAGCCCGCGTAGACATTAAGGAGGCCAAAGTTCTCATGTAGGATGGTGCGGAATGAGCCTGATGAGATCACGATGGTTTGTCTCAGTTGTACTACCGTCACCCTTGCGTTCTCTCCAGGCATCGCATGCACAGCAGAAATGTTGTCCACGGTGGTGTCCTCCGCATGTCGCCCACACGTGCCTCATCGTCCAGGGACCGCCTTCCACGCTTCAATTCCGCAACCCCCTGAAACACGGTGGTTCTTGAGAGCACATTATCACCAAAAGCAGCAACTAATCGTTCAACACTCTGGTGTTGCTCTAAACCACATTTGTGGTCAACGAAACTCATCGTCCTACGGAGACATCGACTGAGTTCCATACTTCCAGTGAGAGTATAGCGACCCTTATGACATGTGAGCTGTGCTGGGCTTCTGGTTTAGGGTTCTGTGAGCAGAAATCACTGAAAAGTGTTCAAAATGGATTATAGTTCACATTTTTCTTGCCAGGTCATCTGCACCTAATCTGTGTACTGCGTATCGAGAAACTTAGTGCTCCGCCCTCGTACCAGTACCCGGACGTATCCAAACTTGCTGACTATCATTCACTAAGCATTTCACTACATATATAGATAAACTCCAATTAGAGCCAATGAAAACAAGGCTAGGATCAATATATTTGAATAAACTTGTACCGCCTGGGATTTCATAATTTCGGAAGGTTTTGGACTATTAAGCGGTTTTGTATAGGCTTGTATCGTGGCTACATTTCGCCCTTGTCCTTGACCTGGGCCTGAAGGGGCTTTGTGTCAAGGGCGAAACGCATCCACAATACAAGGTTATACAAAAACGATTTGTATTCTGAACTTTTCGAAATTATCACAAGACTGGTTCCATTGAATAAGCTTTGCCGAGGATTAGAACTTAGTAACTGTATGTCCCTCCGCATGACAGCAGCGAATGAGTAGACGGAGTTTGCTACAGCCAGTTACTGAGTCACTACTGCTGCTATTATTCGCCCGTGACCTAGTGGCCCTAACTACCGACGCTTAATAGTAAGATCCTGCGTTCTAGTCCGGCAAGGGACATTTGAATTGCGCTCTGCGGTCGATTCCCGAAAGGCCCTCCAGAGCTTTTCTGAAGGGCTAGTGTCACCCAACTTCCCCTACTATGATATGGGTGTGTAATAGAGCACAAAGCGAACCGAATATGCCACTTTTTGGGTTATTATAATCGATTGACAATGCGTTATAACGGGCAAAAAAGCTTTGCTTGACAAGTGCCGTAAGATGACTGTAAGGAGGATTATAAAATGATTTTTTTTAACGTGGCAGGAAAAGGAGAAAATTCTAGTTTGAGTTGACTCATCGAGTTAAGTACATGAAACATTTGCTGGCCTTCTCACAGCTACGTAACGGAGGGGGTTGGTGAAAACACTGCGGTAATTTGTCTTCAAATGGAAACAAACTATGTAGCGTAATGTGAATGGGAAAAAGTGTGGTCCGAACGTTTTTTGAAAGCGTTATTGTGGAGGCGAAAATAACGTGAGAAGGAAGCGCGTTCCACGGTCTGGATACCCGAAGGGAGGAAAGCTTTTGTCAGCACTCACGTCGACTGTGGTGTGTGGTTAGTTTGAGCTAGTGACCCCTCAGGTTAGTACTGTGGCTGATTTCCACCCGATCTCGACAGGCGTGATTGGGGTTAGTCTGTAGTTGGCACACCATAATAAGGTCTCCTCGCAGGCGCCGGTATTTGCCGTTGTACAAGCCTAAAACTTGCAGTCAGCGCTGGTAGGAGAGTTGAAACAGCCCTCTGGCGACTTTCGTCGCACTACGTTGTGGAGCTTCGAGCACATCAACATCATGTTTGTGCCAAGATCGCCAGACTTGGATCGCGTAGTCCAAGTGGGGCCTCATGTAGGTGTACAGCGTTTGTAGAAAAATTTATGGCTCCAACTTTCCGAACGCCCTTCATAGGAGACATAGGTGCTCACAGGCTCTTCTCGATGTTTTCTCAGCCAGTTTCGAGCAGCGAAAGTCATCCTGAACGATGATTTCGAGGTCTATTTCCTATGTAAACTGTTGTAACCGTCGTTGTACTAGTCGATATACATAAGTACATTGACGGCGTATGCTCAGAACTTTGCATTTCGCCAGGCCAAACTGGAACCGGCTTTCGGAGGAAAATCTGTCTAGCTCCCTTTGTAGTGCCGCGTGGTCGCCCACTGTCTTCATGTCACGCCAGATCTTGACATGGTCTGCAAATAGTAAGCAGTTTGACTGGAGCATCCTAGCAAAATCAGTGCTGGATACTAGAAACAGTCGTGGTCTCCGTACCGATCTCTGGGGCACCCTACACTGGACTTCAATTGGGTCGAAGGTGGAGCTGTAGGCTCGCACATTCAGTCGACATTGAAGAAGGAAGCTGCTTATCCAACCTAGTACAAGCTCACCGACTCCATAGCTTCGATATTTTGTGAGGAAAAGTGCGGTGGCCTAAGCGATCGGATGCTTTAGTGAAGTCCAGGAATACGACGACACCAAACCCTTGCCTGACATCAGCTGACTTCGTCAATCTTGGTGCAGGACCGATTTCAGCAAAATTCACGCTTCCATGACACTATGGTGTTGCTGTCAACGTATCCCATGAGCGCCTCTACGACTATTCCTCCCATAAGTTTGGACAACGCTTGGAGGGGGATTATTGGATGGTAGTTAGAAGGCTCCGCACGATTCCAACTCCTGAAAATAGGAGTAAATAATTCTTGTTTCCACATGGTTAAAACCTGTATTTTTTCAGGACTTCCTTGAAAAAACAAGATCAACATTTCGGCAAGTCTCATGGTAACTGATTTTAATACCTTCGGCCTGATGGTGTCCACACCAACGGTGCTGTACACGCGCAAGGATAATAGTCTTTCCGTCAAATTTGCAGAATTGTAGAATACATGGCTTAATCCTGGGGGCAGAGTGAACTGTGTCATGAACGGTTGAAGTGACGATTCACATTGGAAACTGCAACTAAACTGTTGCCCAAGCGCGTTCGTCGCATCTTGTGTAATGGGCGACGAACTATCTACGGCATGTAGAATTGGAATCCCGCTCTGTACTCTCTGGAGTATCTTAGGATTACAGAAGAGTAGTAGGGGGAGTTGAATGGTATAGGTAGAAATTCGTCACAGCTAGACTCACTCAGACAGCCGCCCGGAAAAGCACTGTACGCGCGTTTCATCCTTTCGGGAATCATCGGCAGTGCGCATTCCATCGGACCCTTGGTAGGGCTCGAACCCGCAACTCGACTGTTGCCAGTCCGTGGTTGAGACCACTGAGCTACGGGGGACGAAAATGGAATGCGCACTGCTGATGATTCCCGAAAGGATGAAACGCGCGTACAGTGCTTTTCCGGGCGTGTGGCCGCTGTCTGAGTGAGTCTAGATGTGACGAATTTCTACCTATAAGGATCATTAGTGAATTTTGTTGCTAATTCCTGTTGATGTTTAGGTTCGTCTTCCGGACTAATTTGGCGTAGTGATTCCGCCGAGTTATACAGGCATCCCAGATCTGCGCATCCGGAGAGGCTTTATAAGTGCGCCATGCCAAATCCCTGAAGGCCATGCATTTTCACGTCCCACTTCTCAGGACGGACTTCATTTGCTTCGGGCAAAAGCTTTGATTTCGGACGCCACTGCTACTAGCTCGCTGAACAGTGTGACAAATTCCTTCCAGGTGACGTTGGGACGCCGCTCAGCTAGGGAAGACCAATTAGTGTCTTGAACGAGGTCAGAGTGCGTACCGTAACGGGTGACAACGTAAACTACTCCACTGTTTCCACAGCTGTTTTCCTCGTAACAGATGTAGCCAAAGAGCAGCTTTGCGTGATCGCTACGACCAAGCGATTCCCTTATGTTTACTGCATCAATCATTAGACTCTCCTTTGTGAACACAAGTTCGAAGACAGGTGGTTTGTCACCAGTTCGGAACCACATGGGTGCGGTTACGTGGTTGTATAGGGGTACGTCGGTGATTACTGCTTGCTAGTCCGCTTGGAATAATTCGCATGTTGAAGCTGGGAATTGGAGTTAGTGCTGGTTGAAGTCTCCCACGAAAAGGATGTAAAAGTACGACCGTGCCAGGATTCGGTTCATAGCGGCTGCCAGGCGGTGATCTATTTCCTGGTTGGACCTCGGAGGGCAATATATAATTGCAAGTATACACACCTCACGACGTTTCAGACGCAGGCGGCACCAGTGATCATCGGCAACATGCGTAACTAAATCGTCGATGAGATCGATATGCAGGTCAGATCAGTAATGCAGAAGCAATCCGCCTCCTCTACTGGGCCGAACGTTCCGTAGGAGTTATGCCGCGCAGGGCTATCTCGGCAGCAGTGATCTCAAAATTCAGCCATCTTGCGATTATAATAAGGATATCCCAAGGAGTGGAAGTCTGACGAGTACGAAGCTCGGTTAACTTACTGAGAACTCCTTGAGCTTTGTTATATAAGCATGTGAGAGCCTGAAGCATGAAAGGCCATACTGGAGTGCTTATAACTCGTAAAATGCCATCCGGTTTGAGTCTACTGTGCAAAATTACGGCTCATAGCGACAAGAGTCCGTCTTCTGCAGCTTTATAAACCCAGTGGAAGAATTCGACGAGATGAAAGGAGAAGCTACAGCTAACTGTGATGAAACATCTTGGTGACCAGTGCTATGCCAAACTCTTCTGACACAAACTTACACGCACTGCGTAGCACACTACAGTCTAGTTGTCTTTATGCACGAGGGGTTTGTATGACGAGAATGAACCAGTTCAAATACGCGGTACCTAGCTGCTATATGCTTACCCTTAGTGGTTGGCCCATGTGGGGTCTCTGAGGGCACCGCCTCTCCATGGTCCTGGGGCTGTTCATCCAACTCTTGCATGAGCGGTAGACACATGCTGCTAACCGAAGCTTGGGGCCAGTGCGGGATCACAGAAAAGCCCAGAATTAGTTCGACCGGAGAAAGACTATCACTCAGCAAGTATACATTTGTCGGTGCTATCTTATCAGTACTTGATCTTACACCCTGAGAGAGCGAAAAAAGAAAAGAGGCAATAGTAAGTGTGAATTTGAGAGGTACATGTTCATATGGGTCTAAAGAGCCAAGTTTTAATTCTAGTTGTAAGCTAATGAAGTGCTACATTCGGATAAAGTCAGCGAACTGGAACCAATTAACACACTGAAACAGTCAGATTACCACAACCAGGATACATATGAGAGATACCAAACTAACTTATTGAGAACCAGGGCAGTACAACTTTGCTTGGTTCAGCTCCCACAAGGCTTACTTTGGTAACTGAATGGCTTTTCATAACCGGATAGGATTGTGTGTTGTGGTAAACTTCCACGGAACTGTAAGGAGAAACGCACAGGAAAAGCCTCATTTAAAAACAGGGAGACACGAGTAACTGGTCACCTCATATAACTAACAACAGATGTTCCCCTTCCTACCTTGATTAAACAAAGAACTAGGCTCAGGTTGGCAATCGTCATGTGTTTTGTTTCACTTTTAGCTTACACTATCTCCAGATCAATGGAACATTGGTTTAATAGGGTAAAAAGCTAAAGATTAACAGATCCCGTGGGATGGTCAATCCGAATATTGAAAACTGTGGAAAAATGTTTAGTAAAAGTAAATTCACACCAGTGAACTCACCGCAGTATAGGTATTATAAATTGCAAACCCACTAAAAGTTCCTAAGGTGTGACCAAAAATTGGGCGCTGGTAACATTTGTGCCGCCTCTTGGTGCACAAGTATTGGGGGTGAAAATGTGGAACCTATTCTGTCAGTAAAAGCTCTGACAGACGTGTTTTGCCAGGGCAAGGAGTCCTGTGAGATGGAGCAGCGAAATGATTGCACAGTCTACTCGAGTTTTGGACTCTACCAACATGGAAGCACAGATGACGAATTCCGGTTGGGCATTTCACTCTTTGCCAACGCATACGGGAAGCAAATTACGACGACATTCCCAACGATTGTCCTGTTCTTCCAGCTTGAGACGGTGTCCTCTCAGATTACCGGTGTTACAGGGCTCCAGCAAATGGGGGCCGGTGTGGTTGGGATCACTTACAATCTGGTAAGTCAAAAGAAGTTCGCCACGCAATCGTCGGTATTGTCCACTGAAGGCTCCGAAACACTGGATGCCTTTGTTCATACCGCAAATGAAATAAACGTTTGAATTTTCGCGACTGCCCGGCATTGGGGTGCCTTCAAGCTGGTGAGATCTCCCTTCAGCGATGGCTGCCAGACCTGTGTTGCATATTTCACATATGGAGGTATGTATGAGCTGAGAATCTGTTGAAAAATCCACGGGTAGACTCGTCCGAATTCACGCTTCAGGAGGCCCTAGTTTTCGATGAGCCTTCTTGACGCATTTTCAGGACGAAACCGGTCTGAGGAGAGCAGTACCAAAACTTCACTTCGACTGCACTCCTAGCGACTTAACTGGCAAAGATTTACTTCAAAGTAAAATACAGCTTTAACTGAGATTGCGTGTCGCAAAACAAACACAAGGAGGGTGCGTCAATATCCAAAAATGAACATACACAAAAATCGCACTGATTGGCATTAGTTGTTTTCGCACAGCTTACGAGATGTACGAATTCCTCAACTTTATAAAGGATGCCCATAAACGCCTTTGAGTGCAGTTATCCGAAAGAAACCAACAGATCAGTGTGTGTAAACTGGTACGTGCCAACGCTTATCGGACATCAGAAGAGACATCACCAGTGATGCATCGTCAGAGCTAGATCTAAAGTCAGTGTTCGATAAAGAATCTCGCGCATGCTTTATAGTTACAGTGGACTGTCGAGAACCCTCAGGTTTGCATGTTACCAACACATCGCCCTTGTTCTACAATGCCGCTTCAGCTCCGGTGATTACTATATCTGTCCTTGTTTAATGAAACCGACTTAACAGGCTTCTACTTATGGTAACCTGATCCCATGATCCCCTCATATTGCACTCGCGGTTGGTTGTGAGAGTAGCCCATCTGTCCTCGTGACTGAAGTGGTTTAATTACAGTATCATTTTAGATTAACACAATATCGACAGCCTTTTTGAAAAACTGCTTTACGGGTATTGGGAAAGCAGGTTTTGCCAGTCTGAAAACACTACACTCCACGACGAGCCTCGATCTTGCTTGATCTCATCAGGAATTGACCAAGATTCACTTTAACACGAATCACGGTCCCCACTGATAATACTCGTCGCAATCCAATCACAACACATATACCTCAATATGACCTTCCAAGCGTGATTCGAGACAAATTCGTTCAAATGTTGGAATAAAAATTACTTGATCTGCATGTTCTAACTTCCAGAATACGTTGAGAATAGGGTGTCAATGATTGCGTTACTTGTTGCATCCATAATGTTTCTGAATCACGACGCGCAGTTACATGCGGAGAGCGTAGCAATTCGGAGAAGGAAGCTGCAAAAGTTTTCTCGTCTACTCAGCTAAAGGTCGGATGCTGCAGCCTTGTACGTCAACTGAGACTACACTTTTGATAGCAGCATGTCCTACCTTGGCAGTGTGAAAACAGTGGGCGGGTAAGGAAATCTTAGAACATCTCACTGTCGTTCTTCCATTATAAATGAGCTGGATGATGACAACGTGGGTTCTAATGGTTTCAAGCGTAATACCAACCAGACGCATGTTTATCTTTGTGTGCTGCCAAAGAAATTCGTAATCTGTTCATACAGTTAAGGTGCGCTCATTAAACGGTAGAAACCAGTGTACGGTGCTTCTGATCATTAGCATGTTTGATTCTTGGGGCCATTGTCTTAGGACCAGAGCAACACTTAACAAGTACACTCACACATTCGTGGCCACTGTGTACCCCGTGAGCTCTAGGCAATAAGCCCCGGAATCATATCGAACAGGGCGCGCCGTGCATCAGGCCGTAGGTACGCAGCGCAAGGAGAAGATGAACAGTGATTGGATGGATCTGGTTACCGTGATACTATGCAGCTGAGGGTGGCCTAGACCTAACGGGTGGAGCGAAGTCATCTTACAAACGTCCTGGTATATTTACTTTGCGCGAAGAGCTTCTTACTTAGTCCCGATTTCGACGTCCCACTGCATTCTAGCACATTTTTAATAGAAAGCAATCAAACGATTTTGCGTAAACGGAAGGGTCAGGCATCATTATAACCAGCAACCGACCTAGTTACCAAATCAATCAATTGATTGTTAGATAATGATATGAGCGCTTGAGCGGAAGGCGTATTACTCCAGTTCATCAAGAACATCTGTCTGTTTCTGCGGTCGTCCTACACTATGAATGCGAACGTGATGGGGCTACAGTCTTAGCTCTGGCGAAATATTCTAATGGTTACAAAAGTCGCCTCTTTGCGAGAAAAGACAGTCTTTGGTATGTTGCACTACGATTCTCACGGATCTTGAAAAGAAAAGGAAAAAGTCATGTGAAGTCTGTAAAAACATGTCACAGCAGATCCAAATGCATCGAATAGCAATAATGAAAAGCAACACATGCTACGATAATTCGATCTTCCACTCACGTGAACAGTTCGCAGAATTCGTTTATATCGATCCAACGCTCCAGTGGTTGCGCTGTTATTAGTTGCACCTCGTCTCGTGTTTCCTCTTCGCCGTGCTGTTCACTTAGCTCCCCGTTCTTCAACCCGTTGCCTGCGAGTGCCATTGTCGATGTTGTGCCTCCAGTTCCAGCCATCTTGCGAACGGTTTCATGGTTCTTGAACTTGACAGCTGATGGGGCAGGTATGTTCAAAAGAAGTGTACTGGGTATCAAGATGATGTAGAACAAATCTGGGTGCCTAAGTCAAAGTCTGAAAATGTTATAAATAAGTGTTTTGCTCAGTAATTAAGGCGGGTCTCGACTGGTTTCTTTTGTACATAGTTTTAAAGCAGTCTAGAAACATAGAATCTTCAGTTTGTTGTTAATACGTTCTTAGTAATCCAGGATAGTTTTATCTTTTGTTTCGTGAGATATATATCTATAAGTTGGGTGGATGAAACAAATCTATCCGGGACTCCTTCCTATCCTCAAGGGATCAGGATAGGCCAAAGTAAAAAGGTCACCAATATGCCTTTCATCTGTATGAGGAATTTCAAGGCCTCTGAGATACGGTGTCTTTCATACTGTCTGCAGCAGAATCAACACCGCATCTACGAAGCCCCAAGTACCACATAAGGGCCACTTTAGAAAGACGGCGAGACCGCTCGCATCCAGTTGACTTTATGGTGGCGTTTTATGAGATGGGCTACGAAACATGGTTTCCGATGTCGGGTGACTTCAGAGGCCAAGTTGAGCATAATTTGTTTGCTGCATATCCACAGATGATACGCCTGCAGCTTGTGATCTGAACCTCGGATGAGCTTAATGCTACATGCTGCGTTCTATGTTGGCGTCAAGGCGCCTGTTCTCTGTAATGCGTAGGTAGTATGGTTAGCCTGCATGCATGTTCCAATGAAGGGGCACAAGTTAGCCGCCGAAAATCTGTCACTTCAAAGCGACGAAACTTGTGTGTGTCTGAAGACTCTAGTAAGTAGCTGGAAGTGTGAATGAAGGTTCACAAATCCTGAAATCCACAAGTGATTCCAGAAGATCCAACTAGACAAGAAGCTGTGGTACCAGCCAGTGTACTGGCATCTGAAGAATATTCCGCTATGAGGTCTCTTACGCCAACGCCATTCGTGCGTTGAAGCAGTAACAGCCATTTCGAAGGGATGAAGTTATGTGCCCCCAAAAATCTCTGCCCATCGAGACTAAGCTGATTGGAGAGGACACCATAGGCTCAAATATAAAGCGTTACCGCAACATATTCATTGAAGACCAGCTGGGTTAGCTCAACAACTTAAAAGCCAAAATCCGCATGGCGGATGCTAGTACGCTAAAAGTTTTCAAGGCCAGATCATCACCTTACTTTTTAGGACTTCACGTTGAGGACGAACTGAAACGGCTCTAGCACAAAGTGACAACAATAATAATATGTATAATAATAATAATAATAATAATCATGTTTCAGCTATACGTCGTAACGACACTTCTGTCTCGAGCGACCACCAGTCGCACTTGGGCTGAGCATACCGCGAGGACACTCACCCCTACGCGGGTTCGAACCCGGGCCGCAAGATTACGAGACAAGATGGTTACGTCTAGGCAACGGGTTGACACGAAGTGTTGATCGTACGGGTTCAGCAATCTGTATGGGCATCAAGAATATTCCTTGTGCTCAGGCCAGAGGATCGTAAATACAAACTAACAATGAAGCAGTATTGCTGCGCCCAACACTGACACCCCTTGACCAGTTTCGTCCTCATTTGCACTCATCAGATGAAGATAGCCTGAGCTGGGGTGAAGCTTGGGCTCTAGTGGTTAACGGATGAAACCTTGATCACTATGCTATCGAGTTCCGTGAGCAACATTTGGCACAACGGTAAGAAAGTAAACGTCGGATTTGGAATACCCTCAGCGTGGAGGAGGAGCAACACCGAAACACCTTCATTTCGGATGCGGTCCTTGTGGTCGGAATGACTGAGGTCTACTTCAAAGTGAACTGAGGTCTCAGTGGAGATTGCTTGTCGCAATCCAACCACACGACGAATATACCAAATGCAATTTTAAGAGGAAATCATTGTGTTATACATTAAGCATCTCACTTGCCTAAAGGTATGGATCAGTTTGCTACTTTATATGGTGTAGTCACGTTAACTAAGCTTGATTAATATCACGCATTTTCCCTAGTAGAATGGAACCAAGTTTCTTGTCCCTTTACTATGGCTGGCTCACATTTGGACCTATTTGAACGCAGCAGACTACCTTTTGAATTAATTCATCTCCTGGGATTCCTCAAAGGATAATCGATAAAACTGTACGGCATATACTAGCACATGTGCACATTTGACGATTTAATAATCCCAGGTCATACAGGACAAGAGCAGCTACGCACGGTGGACAAGGTACGGTATAGATCGTCCGAAAACCGATTACGTTTACGGTGTTCCCAATGTGCTTTGCCGGTTAATTCCGTTGATGACCTAGCTCATCGCCTAGATAAAAATCGCTTGCACGCAGGAAAAGACAAGATGGAGCGCAGTATTAGTGCGCCCACACCTCATTACGAAGTGCAGTTATACTTGTTCATTAGAATGTTATTTCTCAACAAGCGTTTCCTACTTAACCTGGTCTCCGTTATTGCCACGCTTCAAAAATAGTACTCTGTGGTCACGAGCAAGGAAATAGGAACAAGCCTTTCTGGAGGTGGAGAATCAACTCGCTTCTTCATCCGTACTGGTGCATTACTATCCCAACAGACCTCTCGTCTTGCAATGCGATGATTTGCCGTTTGGGGCTGTCGCAGTTCTAGGACATGAAGTTCACGATGGAAGCATCTGTCGTATAGTTTTCGTACGTCGAAAGCTACAGGCCATTGAAAGAAGGTTACACACAGCTGGACAAAGAGGCACTGACCTTAACTTTTGGAGTCAAGGTTTTCCATCTATACTTGCAAGACAATCGCTTCGGGTTACAAACTGGTCATGAACAGCTGATTTTGGTGCTGGATGAGGGACGGGGTATAGAACACAGTAACGCACCACAAACGATACACTGGGCAGTCCTCCTTTACGCTTGCAAGTATCACCACAGGTTCCCACAATAATGTTGCCGATGTCTAAAATGGATTGTCATAGGAAGTTCAAAGTGATGATCAACGAGTTTGTCCAATTAATACAACACCTAGACATTATTGCAATACCCAGAAATTTGTTTTTAAAAATACCTGCCGAGACCTGGTCATTTCCACTGCAACGCGGTTGGGAATCGCGATCCACTGAGATCCTACGCCTATTTTTCAAGCCCCTATTGGAGCTCAATCCGCTTGAGGAATGTATCCTGTGTGGATCTCGTATCGCTATCCCGTTTGTTCTCTAGTTAGTTGCACTAAGAGAAATACACGATGCTCATCCGAAAGTCGTCCGCACGATAGCCTAGGCTAGAGCATACTGTTGGCATTCGGCAGTTGATCGAGCTAACGAAATTCATTTGAGCGCACATACTCTATGCTATCAACCTCAGAAAGTCAAAGCATCCTATCCAGTTCACCCTATGGAGCTAATTGATGGTTCATGGGAGCGTGTTCAAGCTGACTATTTCGGTCCGGTTGAAGAAGTATGTTACTACCGTTGGTGGACACCTACTCTAAATGGACATATATATATATATATAAATATATATATATATACCTTGTGCACATAAATTGAAACAAACTACGATTGTGTCTCTTTTTCTATGAATAGCATGTTTTTATACATGAAAGCTGCCCTTTTGGCAGTTATTTTTTTATTTTATTATGGGAACAGATATTTCATCATTGTTTGTGAATCAGACGATGTAATAACTGCACATGTCTAGTTGTTACATCACCCAAGATTGCGTCATACTTTTTATAGTTAGTAATGTTTTTGTTTCAATTTCTTGTTTTTTGTGATTCAGTCATTGTTTGAGATGGACGTGACTCCCAGAAGGCGCATGAAGATCGTGACCTTGCACGAACACACAGACATGACCTACAGGGACATAGCAAGAATAGTAGGCGTCAGTCCGGCAACCGTCAGCCGTGTGGTCAAAAAGAAAAAGGAAACGGGATGCATTTCGCCAAAACGCAAAGGGAAATGTGGTCCTAAGAGGAAAACCACTGCCAGGGATGACGCTTACCTAATGCGGGAAAGTGTTAAAGATCCTCGAAAGACTAGTGACGCATTAAAACGTGATTTGGGGGAGAAAGGAATAGAAATCAGTTCTTCAACGGTTCGCAGGCGACTCCTGGAAGTTGGTCGGAAAGCCAGACGGTCTGTGAAAAAACAACTTCTGACAAAAGTAATGAAAGTTAAGCGTTACAAATGGGGACTAAAATACAAAAACTGGACAAAAGAAGATTGGAGAAAAGTCAGCGATGGAAGTCATTTCTATGGTCATGGTCAGAGAAGTCAGTATGTTCGGAGGTCAGAGGGAGAAAAGGTTCGTGATTCCCACATTGACCATCTTGTGAAACACCCACAAAAGCAGATGTTTTGGGGGTGCTTTAGTTATTACGGCGTCGGCGCCTTGCATCCAGTCCAGGGCATGATGCGCTCTCCACAATATATAGAAGTTCTCCAAAGAAGAGCTGTTCCAGAACTAAAAAAGACATTTCCTGACGGATCTGGCGTATTTCAACATCTTGGGTCCCTGTACCAAACTTGAATTAAAGCTTGAATAAGTTTCTCCTTTGTCGTACAGTCCATGCCACGAAGACGTTGCTTGCAAATAGGGGGTTTAAATCTGGTGAACTCCCAGGCCAGTCCAAGATGGTTATTTGATTAGTATTGAAAAAAGTCTTGACCATTTTTGATGTGTGGCACGGGGCCAGATCCTGTTGAAGAAATGATTTCTATTCCTTTCTCCCCCAAATCACGTTTTAATGCGTCACTAGTCTTTCGAGGATCTTTAACACTTTCCCGCATTAGGTAAGCGTCATCCCTGGCAGTGGTTTTCCTCTTAGGACCACATTTCCCTTTGCGTTTTGGCGAAATGCATCCCGTTTCCTTTTTCTTTTTGACCACACGGCTGACGGTTGCCGGACTGACGCCTACTATTCTTGCTATGTCCCTGTAGGTCATGTCTGTGTGTTCGTGCAAGGTCACGATCTTCATGCGCCTTCTGGGAGTCACGTCCATCTCAAACAATGACTGAATCACAAAAAACA